TGCTTTCCACTCTTGCAGGTAGGCTCTTAGTCTGTATATCACTGAAAGCAGCCTTGTAGGTGCCCAGATACCTTGTCTTTCATGTTTCCTCAGTCACCAATTTTTCCTCTAAGGCTTCCAGTGAAAGGCATTAGATACATATTCTATTAAGTGGTGGATGGTGATGACATTGCAGTTTGAGGGAGAGATGATACGGACTCAAAATAACTTGATAAACTTCACCTGCTGCTACCACTCCCTTCAGGCAAACTCCTCTCTTGCAAATACTCTAATAGCATGCAGGAAACCAATTCTCATTGCTTACATTTTGAAAATATTCTCCTTTCTTAATTCCCTATCATAGCCTTTTTTGTACTTCTGTGTGACTATAATTTTGTCCATTTTAGTTATGTTTTGTTACCTTTCCATAACGTTTATCTTCAACTTTTTTTAATCATAGGAATACATTTCAAGGCAGCAGAAAATAACTGATTTGAAAGGAAGGATAAATAGGTATATGTAGCATCCCTACTCTATGAGACTTTTGAATTTAATTGTTTCAAGTTTGCAAAAATAAGCATTTAAAAAATGAACTGTGAAATACACACACACACCACCCTGCCCTGGTTAACTGTGGAGGCTTTTTATAATGTCTTATTAGAAGAGTTCTTACTTTCTGTGGTGTTTGGTTTTTCTATAATGCTATAGCTTCTCTTTTCTACTTACTGTTTTAACACAGGGAAATTGCTTGGAATGTCACTTCCAATTTTAACTGTCAGTTCCCGCTTGATCTAGATAACAGCGGATTAATTTTTTGCCTCCCTCCTTACAACAACAACCCTCCTATTGTAAAACCCTTTTATAATGACACACTTACTCCCCTCCCAGTGATACATCAAGTCAGATCTACAGGCATGCATAAATGGTTCAAGTATGACACTGACAGTTTTAAGAGTTTCTTAGTGCTTTAATTTTTTCAAAAGCCTTTTTTATCATTTCTCACCCCCTACCCCAATCCAAAAAAAATGGCACGCTTGCGTCTGCAGTAATGTAGTTGTTATTACACAGTCCACTTACATTGTAGGTTACAAATTCTATGGAGTTAGAAACAACTAAAAAAAGTACCAATGTAATTTCAAATACTGTGTGCGTCCCTCTCTACTGTAGAATGTGTTTGCAGTTTTTATGCTTTCTTACTGCAAAAATGTTATATTTCACTCTGTCAGAAAATGTCTCCATACAATGTATACTTCAGCTGACTCAGGAATCTGGAGCTAGGTACTTCAATGGTGGTTGCCAGTTTAATATCATTAGGCTTCCTTGATGTTAAAAGGAGCTGTGTACAGTTATGTAGGTATGAATATACAGTTAGCAGACACCTGATCATGTGATTTGGTATAACTATCTCTTATTTCAGTTTTATGCATGGACTCCACAGAAACAGGGATGTCTCCACTACTCTCATTTGAAACTCATGGCAGTTAGACACTTCTGGCTTTAACAGTAGAGCAATACTTTGGATTTACAACAGCATACTAATAGCAGAACTTGGCCAGTCATTTGGCAAAGTGAATTGAAAGGGTTTCTGCTGATTCTAGGTGTTGGGCACTCTTCTACTTCAGGAGTTTACTATGATATTTAAGTTAAATTTAGGAATCATTTAATTTCCTCCTCAAATCAGAGTTTTAAAATAATTTCATGGTTTAGGCAGTGGTGGTGTGCCTGTAGACCTTGTCAGTATTTTAAGAAAGATGTAATAGTTCAAGGCCTAGTTGCTGTTTGGCATTTGGATTGATCCAGTAAGTTTTTTATAACAATTATCCAAAATTACCAATGGTAGGAAGCAAACACCAATATATTAGATAATAGCACACTACTACAGAGCTGTTTTTGATCTTATTTGCCAGGCATAAAGACCAGATTGTTACAAGTTACCCCTTTATTTAAAACAGGACCTGAGGGGGAGGGAATCTAGTCCAAAGAAGGTCATATCATGCACTTAGAGAGAAATTTTGGATCTCCTTAGATACTGAAAAACAAAGCTGATCTCTCAGATATGCATAGTGGTTCCTTTGATTACAATTTTGTCATTTCATTTGTAAATGCATTTTTGTTATATTTTGTTTGCCAGAGCACAGCTCATCTAAATGATGAAAAGTCTGCAGTAATAGTATTTGGAAGATATTTTTCTTCAGTTTTGTGTCAGGATGTGGGAGATGTTTTACAGCAATATATGCTTTCTTTTCTGGCAGCCTTATGCTCTTTAATCTTTTTTTCTTGTTTCTCTTCCTGTTCCCTCTTGCATACAAAAAGAGTAAATGCATCATATGTTCTGATCACTGTACTTGATAGTGTACCTTGGAAAAGCAGATTAATTTGAAGATGTAGCATTGTTTCATTCGCACTTCCACTGGTGTAGGGAGTTGAGTAATTTATCTCTAAAGAGGCTCTTGGGCTGTAGCATCTGCTTTCTTCAAATGAAGAAAGCTTGAAATAACCCTGAACTGCCTCCTTTATGTTTGTAGTTACTCTTCTATGTCAACTATGTTGAGACAAACCTTACTTATACTGATTCTTGTTAATGATTTGATAGTTATCTTTTGCTAACCTCTTGCCAATTTGTTTGTATTATACATATCCCTTCATACACAAATCCAAACATAAAGCCTTTCAATTTTGGCAGCTGTAACAAACTACATGGAAGCTGTGATTCTTCATTCCTGGCCTTTCTTGAATACCTGACTTGTCTGAAAGACATGAAACAGAGTTGCTTCTCTTTACATACTGACAGGCTTCCACTCATTGTAGATATATATTTTGGAGGAAATCTAGGTCTAGGGAGTTGTTAGATTTGCCACTTTCATCTGTGGGGCATGAACCATTTTCTGTAGTGGTGAAAAGAGAAAAAGCTGTTAGGTTTGATTGACTATTTTTTAGACAGTGTATAGGAGTCTCATGTACTCACAGCCGAGTGTTAAATTGTCTCAGATCTTTGTTAACTTCTGAAATAAACCCCTGGGTTTGGTTGTATTTTTTCTGAAAGATTGACAGCTTTTAAAGGAATCAGGCTGCGTTACCCACTTTTCAGTCTGGGAGACTATTGATGTTGATACTTTTCTTCAAGATCTGAAGAATTCAAAGTGTTATGAGAAGTATTGCAGTGGAGAACTCTTCCAAATTAGCCTGATACTTGTTTTTGAACAATTATTGCCTATTTTTCCAAGGTGACTTGAGCTGTTGCCCGTACAGACTTCTTGTATTTTACTTTCCCATGTAGAACTTCAAAAGAGTGTCTCACTCAATAGCACCCAAGAATCGTCTCTGGGTTACCATCTACGCTTAACTTGCTGGATTCTACAAATTAAGAATTCCCAACGTAGCGCTTGTATTTCTTCCAAAACTCACTGCGCTGTTTCACTGCTTTCTCCCTTTTAAAATTTTATTAACCAATCAATTAGCTGTTTTTCAGTCTACAGGACAATGCATCCCTTTTAAACCAAGCCAGTCTGAATAGTATTTCAAAGAAGTCAATGTAGAAGTGGTTTCTAGATAAGTCTGATTGCTTTTTCTGAGTCTATTTCTCTCTTGACCTCAGGCATATTTCAGTATAACTTCATGTGCTTTTTCCTTGGACCTCTGTTTTATTTTAACCTTTGTGACCTTTGGATGTTGATTTGTGCTTTGATAACTGGGTTTGGAGTGTTCATTTAATAAGTGGTAAAAGGTGGCAGGGAGGGAATAAATACAGACTTTCTAAAGGAAATCATTACTCATCAGTCTTACGGAGGTCTTATAGTCTTTTTGTATTAAATTTTCACTTTTTTCCTTATGAAAGATGATAGCATTACTAAGTAAGTAAAGGGTCTTTGTGTGAGAAAATGCAGAATCAAGCCATCCATTTCAAAACAAATGTGAATGTCTTGGCAGAATCTGATTCTGGCAGAACAAATAATGCAGTATAAATGTGGAGAAAGAGGTAGACAAGAAAACCTGTGTATCTTAGGCAGGTGTTATAAATATGAACTGTTTTATGAAGTAATTCATTAAATGTCAAATGTATGGAACTAAAGTTCAGGCTTTTGGTAAAATTGGTCTACAATATGAAAAATTTTTATCTTTAGGATCACTTGAATAAAGAAGTACCTGAGGAAGGAATGTTAAAGTAAGAATTTACATTATTCTCTGCAGAACCTCACTGAAGTAGAGAATGAGCTCTGAAGCATTTGTGTTGGGAACCTGCAATGAGAGAGTGTTTGGGTGCATGTTCTAAGGGTTATTTGTTACCAGATGTTAGGGATAAAAGATGGATAATAAAAGTTTTAAGGGAAAAAAGATTAATTCTGAGGGAGTGATTGATAGCTTCGCTCTTGTGAAAAATGAGTCATACTAAACTAGAAGAAGAGTCTGCATATTCTCTGCAGAGCACTCAAAAAATTATAGTGGTGATTTGTATCATATTGCACTTTGCAATAGGTCCCCACATTGCTTAGTGTCATTTGAATTGCATAGCTAGAGACAACATTCAGAGTTTCAAATGATAACAAAGAAATTCCTTTTAAATAAAAATTGAAGAGAAATGCCTGCTGTAAGATTGCTATTTTGTTTCCTTGAAAGTATCCTACTCTTCAAATAGAATCTGACATTTGATTCAGTCTTACTAGTAAATATGAAAGTTGGAATGAGCTGGTCTTGCCTGATTTTTTTTTTTTTTTTTTTTTTTTTAAGGAATGAGGTGACAGCTAAACTTTTGAATATCTACAATATGAGAAAAAGCTAACTACTGAGTTCCTTTTTTCTTAGTTTCTGGCATGGTCTAACAGTTTATGCCCATTATAGCTCATAGAGCTGAAGTAGGATGGCACAGATCAGTAATTAAAGAATGCCTGTATCCATCTGCCTGGTGACTTTTATGCTTTGTTGTCTTTATATATCTACATGTTACATTGGCTGTGAACAGCTAAACAGAAGGACTTCCCAGTCAGGTTCCAAATCCTAACATGGTGTCATCTTTTATGTCTCACAGAGTTCTGAAGCCTCTGAAGTGGTAATCCTGGAGCGCTGCTGGATTGTGGAGTTCAGGAGTGAAACAGATGTTGCAATAGTTCTCAGTAAGTAAGACATAGCTCAATATGTTCAGTGTCAATTTTTACTGTCAACAAAAATAACAAATAAACTCGACCACTGAAACTTTCTAAAAATTAAACTAAAATACATTCTCTTGTCTGTTAAATGCCCATGAGTAAACACTGCTTCTCTCTGAATTCATGCCTAAAAAGAAAATCCTAAAAGCTATTGTTTTACTTTTTCTAAAATCAGGTGAAAGTCACATATTGTAATCTTCATCTGACAATAAGTAGACGTTTGAGGTTGTTTTGTTAGATATTATGTACGTATGGATTTTATATTGATGCATGGCCAATTCATCTTATTCTTGAATGACTAATTATTGCCAACCTCACCATTAAATGAGGGGATCTTCTATTTTTCTCTCCTTCTATCAACTCTTCATTAATAAAACTATTAAAAACAGTATGAAAAATTAGTTATTTCATAGAAATTGGAATAATTATTTAAGTGCAAGTATTGATTTTATTTGGAGAAAAGATTGACATAATTTTATCTGCAGGAATAAATCTCCAATAACCATTGTGGTAGAAATTTTTTATGATATGAATTCTTTCTGATACCACTGCAGAGATCTGAAGACCTTAGATCTATATGGTGTTTTCTATTAGCTGTAATGGCCTAAGAGCAATTTTGGTAGGCTGGTAGAAGTAGCTATAGGGGAAAAGAGATTATGTTGCATTTGTGGGATGATAGCCAGCTTTGCATTTAGTAAAAGTTCCTACTTTCTTTATACTCGGCAGAATCACCACTCCACTTCAAGGGAAATGTTACATTAATTGTGCTGTATTCATATAGAATGGTTTGGGTTGGAAGGGACCTTAAAGACCATCCAGTTCCAACCACCCTGCCATGGGCAGGGACACCTTCCACCAGACCAGTTTGCTGAAAGGCCCATCTAACCTGGCCTTAGTGTTTGGTCATGTTTGAGAAGGCAGCATTGTGGGGTTTATCCTTTTCTGGGTAGCATTGTGGGGATCTCTAGTAGTGGAACTAAGTCTCTTGTCTCTTCCTCATGTTGAGGCACTGCATCAAAAAGGACTTCTTTCTGGGTTTGGAAGCATTGCTTTGCCGAAGTATAACAACTGAATGATTACCATTATCTCTCAAATTGAGACATTTTTAATTGTGCCCTTATCGAGTCCAATTCATTGACTGGAATCATCAGCTTTATGAGGTGGTCCTGTTAGAGTATAAATACAGTCATGCCAGTTCTGTTCTGGCACTTCTTTTATAATGCTTGAACATAGTGCTACTAAACTGAACCAAGAATACAGTTGTGATTTCTGACAGGACTCTCAATTAGCTCTGAAATCTGCAAGCAGGGCAGTTTCTGTGGCATTGAGACTGGCAGGTTTTAAGTCTAAAAGCTGGGAAAGTAGACAACAATGAACACTGAGTAAGCACTTCAAGCTGCCTGTGGAGAGAGACAGTGAATATGTGTGGAGTAAGGAATATGCTTGCATAGTTAGGAAGAGAAATTGCTAGCTGAGAGACAGACTTTTCAAAACAAAAGTTTCTGAAGGTCAGTAGTGTGGTTAGAAGAAAGGGTGGCATTCTGACCAGCCTCTAAAAACATATTAAAGGAGAAAAGAAGAAACAGTGCAGAGAACTCCAGGTATGCAGACCCAACAAATGAGGATGAATGCCTGAAGGAATACAGCAGAAGATAAAGAGACAGCCAGGTAGAGGAAATGGATTTCAAACTTGGCAATTTTCCTGTGCCAGAGAACATGGATAACAGCCTGGCTGCTGATGATTTGTTTGATGGGAAAAGAAAAAGAAAGCCAGACTATTATGAGGTATTAGAACAAAACTGAAGACAAATGAAAATGATATATTGTGTACTGAGTGAGGATAAAATACCAAAAGAAGGGTAATAATCCATGTACCATAGGTGAGAACAAAATGCAGAAGACAAAATGGGGGAGAAAAGCAAAACTCAGGAACTAAGAAGAGATCTTTGTCAGTGCAGTCTCTGATCATGAAAAACTAGCTGCACTGTCACAAGAATATATCGCTTGGCCATTGGAAGCCAGAAAAACTTCAAAATGTTTATCTGGGACTTTAAAGGATTTGGGTGAAAGCAGGATAATAGGACATACCTGCTCATAATGTCAAATTCCTTGTGGAACAGATGGAGGAGAGCTGTGCTGGAACACAGGAGGAGCTCCATGGAAGGAGGTGGAGTTGATCTTTGAGGTTTAACTTGGGGTATGGCTAGGAAGGGACTTGCAGGCTGTGAGGTGAAGATAAGCAGCTGGTGGCTCAACTTGGAACTGTGAGGGGGGGTTAGAGTGAGCTTTTGGCCAATTGTCTCCATATTTCTCTGAGTGGAGGGCTGAATCCTAGGAGACATGAGGAAGAGTAAGAAATTGAGAGTAATTTGGATATCTAGGAAGAGAATGTAATATAGGGCAGTGGAGTAAACATGAAAGGAAAAATAAGGACACTTTCATGCAACATCTAGTAATACTGTGAAGCTGATCATTGACTCAGGGTGGTGTGGACACTGAAACATAAGGGGAGTACAGAAGAGGTCAGGCAGTTGCAGCAGGTAATCCTGCCAGTGCTTCAAATGTAGTGCTCCCAAAGCAGCCTAGCTCCAAAGGTTTGTAAGCAGACCATGAAAGAAAACAGTAGGGCTTGTTTAGGTGAACTGTTGTTCTGTATGTGGCTGGCTTCTTGCATGCCCTTGTACCAGGAACTAGTTGCTATTAGCAGAACAGTGTGAGTAGAATCTGATTGAATGTGGCAGTTTGTACATATGTGATTCATTCCTGAATCCCGGCAGGTGTGATAAGGAAAGCATTTCAACCCTTTTGTCCAAAAAAATCTTAAACCTGGAAACCGCTGCTGTGCACTAAGATGTTTGAGCAGTGCAATGTTAACTGCCTTGCCTTGGATTCTTCTCAGGAATAACCACCATTTTCACACCATCAAAAGGCAATGGGTGGCAATAGCAGGGGACTCTCTTCCAATAGGTATGGAGGCACCCATTTACCAACTGTCACACTCTCTAGAGAAGTGTGCTGCTCACTGGGGGCACATTCAGGGGTGTCACTGAGAGGCTAGCAAGCCTCATACAGTCCACTTACTGTTACCTGCTGCTTTTGTTTTTATGTGGGCATCAGTGATACAGCCAGGAGCAGTCTGAGGAACCTTGACAGGCTTGAGAGGTGGGCCATGAACCTCATGAAGTTGAACAAGGCCAAGTGCAAGGTCCTGTGCCTGCATCAGGGCAATTCCAAGCACAAATACAGGCTGGGCAGAGACTGGATTGAGACCAGCCCTGAGGAGAATGACTTGGAGGTGTTGGTTGACAAGAAGTTCAACATGAGCCAGCAGTGCATGTTTTCAGCCCAGAAAGCCAACCATATGCTGGGCTGCATCAAAAGAAGCGTGACCAGCAGGTTGAGCAGGGAGAATCAGCTCCCTACTCCCACCTGGAGCGCTGCATTTGCTCTGAGGCCCCCAACATAAGAAGGACATGGACCTGTTGGAGCAAGACCAGAGGAGGGCCACAAAGATGGTCAGAGGGCTGGAGCACCTCTCCAATGAAGACAGGCTGAGAGAGCTGGACTTCTTCAGCCTGGAGAAGAGAAGGCTCCGGGGAGACCTTAGGGCAGCTTCCAGTGCCTAAAGGAGGCCTCAAGAAATCTGAAGAGGGACTTCTTACATGGGCATATAGAGATAGGACAAGAGGGAATGACTGTAAACTGACAGAGGGGAGATTTAGATTAAATATTAGGAAGTTCTTCCCTGTGAGGGTGGTGAGACACAGGCACAGGTTCCCCAGAGAAGCTGCGGCTGCCCCATCCCTGGCAGTGTTCAAGGCCAGGTTGGACGGGGCTTGGAGCAACCTGGTCTAGTGGAAGGTGTCCTTGCCTATGGCAGGGGGTTGGAACTGCATGATCTTTAAGGTCCCTTCCAAACCAAACCACTCCATGATTCTGTGGTCTCAGCTTGCACCATACAGGCAGGCATCATAGCCTCACCAGACACAGGTAATACCTGAGTATGGCTATTTAGAGCACAGCTGTGTCTCTGCTGGACCTCGGAAACCCATTATCGGTGGTTAGTGTGCTGGGTGTATGTGCCCAGCTGCTGGCGAGGGGTGTGGGGGGTGTGTGTGCCGTGCTGCAGGATGGTCTCCCTGAGGAGCGGCAGGGACTGCCCCATGACGGACCCCACCGGTTCCAGGGGCGCACACACACACCCACCAACCCACCCAGTGCTTCCAGCCGGTGCCTCAGGGGAAGCACGTTTCGGAAGGGGTGTAACCCTGCCCCGCGGTGAGGGTGAGGGCGAAACAGCTCTGTGAGAGCACGCGGAGGGGAGGAGGCTCTCCAGGCCAAGCAGAGATTCCCCTGCGGCTTCTGGAGAGACCACAGTGGAGCAGGTATTTCTGTGCAGCCATGGGTGAAGTGTGAGGGGGAAGGAACAGCAGAGGAGTGCAATGGACTGATCATAACCAACTCAGCCCTCAAAACGTTCGTGTGGGAAGGTAGAGGAGTAAAAAAGGGAGTGACGTTGAGCGTGGGGAAAAAGGGGGAAAGCAGAGGAGGGGAAAGGCCCTTCTCCCTAGTCAGCACTACTAATTTGCAGTGTATTAAGTTATTTTTCCTATGAGTTTGTTTTGCCCTTGGTAGTAATTAGTAGCAATCTCCCTGTCTTTAACCTGACCCATGAGCTGCTGCTGCTTTTTGTCTCCCCCAGTGCTGCTGAGGAGCGGGGCCGGGCAGGTGGCTGGCAGCAGGCACTGCTCAACACACCACTGTTAATCTGTGTCTGGGGTTTTCCTTCTAAGTGTTTCATCCGCTTCCAGATGTGTCACTGTTTGAGCAGCAGATGCAAACAGATAAGCAATCAGTAACAAAAAACTTGTGTTAATGTTGGTAGTTCTTGGTTACTGTTGTGTTTCTCTGGAACAGGACAATTAGAGCTGTGTGGCTAGGTATTTGAACTGGTCCCAGAAGCAATGTGAA